AGTCCTTCATTTACCATACATAATCATTTTGTTCTCGTTTTGAAATCACGTTATTTTGTTGGTACCAGATTGAGTGGTAAGATGATATTTACCTTAAACTTAGAGATTTCCTTTATTGGACTTTGGCTCACTCTGTTATTTTTCAGATCTATAGGATGGATTCTCTTTCCACACTATGCTTTGGAGTACTCGTATACATAGCATGGAGATATCAAGATGTACTTGTACCGGGACTCAAGATAGTGTATGTTAAATGTAGTTCTATTGTCCGGGTGGATGTGGGATTACTTGAGTTTCTCCCCCACTGTTTCATCACTTGGTACGCTAATATAAATAGCAAGTCGGTAGGACCTTTGAAAGAGTTCGATGGTCCCCTTGGGTTAGGCGATGGTTTGTAAAAAAATGTACAAGCTCTCTTTTGATGAAGTATGGGTATAGTGACGATAATTGACCTGACCTTCTTTGCAAAATTATTGCTTTGTTGTCTATTTCTTTTTGGGTACTTGTATTAGTACTTGGAAGATGAACATTAAAAGAAGAAAGATGCATGTCTATTATTTAGACTTGTTAAATTTCTGTTACCAAGTGATATGGTTATTTTGTTATGATTCTACATGTTTAAAAGATAATAAATAATTTAAGGAAAGATCTCATGTGGCACTTGACATTTTGAGGCATCACAACAAAGGTTTACGATGCTTTGTTGTAATTAAAAACATTGTCAATTTAGACTTTTTTTAATTACAGTATTTCGTCATAACCAAGAGCGAAACTCCGACATATTTATTAGTTTCTTATTTACAACAATATGGTTTATGATGGCTATGGTAATCAAAAACAAAATGTCGTAAATTTGAATATTTTGAATTATGGTGATTTACAACTAGTTACGACAATCGGTTGTAACAATAGGCGATCGTTTTGTAACTAAGAGCAAAGCACTATGAACTTTGTTATTTTTTTCTTAATTACAACAACATACAAATGTTTATGACGTTGCGGGGTAACCAAGACCAGGATGTTGTAAATTTCGATTTTTTTAACTACGCCAGCCGGTCATAAGTAAGACCAAAGAGTCGCAAATTTGGAAATTTTCAAAATTACCACGGTTTGCAAAATTTTACAATGTTTAATTGTAATTAAGAACAGTACGTAGTAAATATTGTAAACCGTGGTATACTTATGATAAATTTAACCTAAACTAATTTTTTGATCACCAAAAATCCCGAACCGGTACACGTGTGACAAATTTACCTCAATCTAATTTTTTGACCACTAAAAACCCTAAACCGGTACTCTTATGACAAATTTACCTTCCGTAAAATTGAATTAATACCTCAGAAAACGACAAATTGATAAACATGTGACAAATGGAGGGGTAAAACCTCAAACTGGTACATCCGTCAACTGCCACGTGTCATTCAACTCAGAAATTTGATTGTAAAATTTAATGGAAACTAACGGAGGGTAAATTTGTGATATGTATACCAGTTTGAGGTTTTTTGTGGTAAATAAATTAGTTTTGGATAAATTTATCTAAGATATATCAGTTTAGGGTTTTTCATGGTATTAACCCTTTTAACTATAACAATTTGCAAAGGTTTACAACGATTTGTAATGATTAAGAACAAACTTCGTAAACTTAGATATTTTTCCAAGCACGTCGATTTATGAAGAATTGCAATGTTCCGTCGTCATAAACGTGGGTAAAACCTAATAAATTTGGATAATTTAAAGTATGACCACTGACAAAGGTAAACTATGATCCATCGTACCAATGAACAAAACGTCTTAAAGTTGGATATTTTTCAATTACGACGATTTACAAAAAGACTCTATTGTAACCAAGAGTAAAGCATCGTAAATTTGGTTTCTTTTTAAAAAAAATTAGCACGTTTTACAAATGTTTCTTAACCAAGAACAGAACATTGTAGATTTCCATATTTTTAATTAGAACTGTTGACAAATGCTTATGACAATCCGCCGTAACCAAGAAGAAAATGCAGTAAATTTGGATTGATTTTAGTGACTATGGTTTCCAAAGTTAACGACGGTTTGTAATAATTAAGAACGAAACATCATAAATTTGAATATTTTATTGCTTACGGTGATTAATAGAGAGTTACAACGCATCGCAAAACATATAAATTTAGATTTTCTTAAATGATGACAGTTTACAAAGGGTTACGAAAAGAAGAAATCATTAAAATTTGAATGCTTTTATTTATTGCGATAATTTATAAAGAGTTATGGCTTCATAAACATGAGGAAAATGTCATATATTTGGATTTTTTTCAACTACGACTATTTACAAAGGGCTACGATGCTTCATAACAAAATGTGGTAATTTTGTATTTTTTTTCAATTATGGCCCTTTGCGAAGGTTTACGACAATCCATTGAAACTATGAACAAAATGTACTAAATTTGGAATTTTTTTTGTTACGACCAGTTTTATATTATTTAGACATTTCATCGTAACATCATAATCAAGAACTTACCACCGTAAATTTGAATATTTTTGAATTACGATAGTTTACAAAGGTTTACAACGATGTTCGTAACCAAGAATGTAAAATAGTAAAACGTCATTAAATATGATTGTTACTACACCGCACGTCAATTTTCTAGTGGGTCAGAAGCTTGTTTGCTAGTGCATTGTAAATCTCACGGTGATAATTTCCCTTTGACTGGATGAAATTACCCACAATTAAATTACCGATTCAGACCTAAAGTTATCCGATAGATTTCAATGAAGACCCTAAGATTTTTATATTTTGCCAATAGAGTCTCAATTTCAATATAGTCTTTCCAGTCAATCTTCGCCTAAAAATGCCGACGCGGCAGTCCAGTCATCGCTAGCCATCTTTGGTGGCACGGCCATCGACCTGACGTGTCATTTTGAGTGAGTTTTCTGATTTTTTTTTTTTTGTCTTCTTTTGTTTATGTTTTCTTTTGTTTCCTTTTCCGCGCTACCGTTCATCTTCTTCTTTGGGTGTTAATCCAATGCCCCTCCCATGGCCACAGCATCTACAAGAGCCAATTCACTGTGCCACTGTCGCTCGAAATTTTTCAATTCTTCATCTTCGTTTTCAATAAAAATAGAGAATTGATTCGACAATACTAGTAATAAACAATCACTGATGTTATAAGTTGAGATCATATTTTTAGATCTTTTATTGTGTGAAGCATGAAATTTTCCTTTCATTGTGCCGTTTCTGATGCTTCAATGTTCGCCGTCGAGGCCTCCCTTTTATCTCTGTGCCGCTGCCTGAATTGTCACACGGAGGGACGCCTTCATTCTGCCCAATCGGGGGGAAATCAGGCGGGAATTCGTTTTGATTCCAATGAGTATTCGACGTTTGCCTTGGTTTCTTGTGCCTCCACACAGTTTGGTGCCGGCCACAGCAAAATGGGCTCGGCCGAGGTCGTTGGGATCCATGAGACTAGTTCGCGTGTGGCCGGCTTTGGCGATGTTCACCGAAATTTGAGCATTACAAGGTCAATTATCGAGACGCGTTTGTTAGCACCACCATTAGATCTACCGAACCAAAATGCTTTTCCACAGTCCATGGAGGAGCTCTGGTAGCACCGCCGCCAGCTCGGCTTAACTCTAGAAAAGTCTGCTTTCTCACAACGATTTACCGTGTTTCCCTGAGAGATTTAGGCTGTGGAAACAAGATGAACAATAGCGTGGAAAAGGAAAAAATGAAAAGGAAAAAAAGAAAAGAAAAAAAATTTAAAAATTTAAAAATATATACAAAACGACGTCGTTTCTATTCAGTCTGTCTACATCAGATCAACACAGCCAGAGATGACTAGACCGCTACATCAGCATTTTCAGGCGAAAATTTGGCTCGAACGACTACATTGAAATATCGCGAAAAAGTTTAGTATGAAAGTGACAAAATTGAAAAGTTTAAGACTACAATGAAATCTTTTCCATTGATTTAGGAAATTAAAGTAATTTTCCCACTAATCTTGTCTAGTCTTCCCTTCCCTCGCTCCTTCCTAATTCCCAATGATTAAAACTGGTTCACCTCTATAGAGGCAACGCAATGGACAGCAGTAGCAATAGAGGTGGTGGGAAGAGCAGTAGGGCAGCTGCGACAACTGACCAGTAGTGATGATGTTTATGATTCCCAGAAGTTGCGGTCTGGGACTGTCTTCTCTGAAATTATGAATTCCAAAGCTCGATGAGACGGAGGCATTCAAGTTCAACTGTTCCAGCTTTGGTTCCTGAAGTTGGTTATGGCAAGGTTTTTGCTACAAAAAATCGAGCGTGAGTTTGTGTATTTTCCTACGTAAAAGAATATCTAGTCATCAGGAATGTAAGCAAGTTCCGATTGATCTTTAGATCCGAATCGAGTGCATGGAAAGAGCTCAAGTGAGAATTGATAGTCGCTAGTTTTGGGTAATTATTGAGGAATATAAAGTGATTCTCAGTGTTAAAGTCCTATAATCAGTCTTGCAGAAAGGTTAGTCCATCCGCATGCGTTTGGCATTCTAGGAAAATTGCCGACTTATTCCTCCAAAAATCATTGAACAAACACAGACAGTTGTCTATCGGATGAGGGATCTTCCCACTTTCAGGAAAGCCGTCTTAGTCTTCTTCTTTTTTTTTGGTCAAATAGACCCAATTGACAAAATGTGAAAAGATTTATGACTCAATTGGTATAATTAAAAGGTTTATGATTAATTTGGCAAAAATGCAATATATTTAGGACTATTTGACAATTTTCCCTAAAAAAGGTAATCGAGTTTCGAAAACTGTAACTAAGCCGGTGTTTCTTCTTTCATCTAATGCTCAAGGAAGAGTTATTTAGCTATACATGAGAGAACCCCTGAAAATCTTAGGGCAACTTACGCAAATATGCGAAACATTGTTCTAAAGAATCTATGAAAAGTGGAGTGACCGCATATATAAAGCTCTACGAAGAACAGGCGGATGAAACAAAATTTACTTAATAAATCTACATATAAAGTACAGATGAAACCCAATTTAGAGGAACCATCTATATTGCTGCTTTAAGAAAATACTTACAATGTGAAGCAAACAGGATAGGGGAATGTTACAGTGTAATATAAATCATCGACTATTGTCGATGATAACAAATTGAAAAACGAAACAAAAAGAAAAAGCTATGCTAAAGAATCTCAGCCAGATATCTAGGCATTCACAAAAAATACAACCAATTGATTTAGATAAAGAAAATTTGAACACCTAATGGAATTAAGGGGAAAGGCCCTACTTTAAAGGATGTTCTTTACCCTCCTATTTCTCGCAAGCTACTCATGTTTATAGTCATGAAACCTCTAGAGGATCCTACCAAAGATTATCCAGTTTGATCCGCCGGGGACGGTCTCGATACACAAGTACATTTTGTCAGTTAGAATAGTGCCAAGCCTATTCATCTTTCGAACACAAGCGCTCTGTACAAAGAACACGATAAATTGTCAGACTGGGAATGATTCATGGTGTAATAAACGGATGTTCAAGAGAGACAAGAAAGGAATAAGAACCACTTGCACTATAAAACCAATTTCAAGAGAGGCAAAAAAAAATCGGGCAATGACTTCCATTTTCCATGGGGTGCCCTGGGTAAATAACCAGCTGCAGATAGGCGTCCAGATCTAATTTTTAGATGAATGAACTGGACATGCTTATTTCAAGCAGACATCAAAAGTTAGAACTAAATCGCCCGTACAATTGCTACGAACATCCAAACGATTCTACTCATTTCATAAAGCACCAAATAATATCTTGCAGATGCTGTGAGACAGGAAGCATTCATACATTCTATCATGATGAGCATAATGAAAATGGAGTACTAAGAGACAAAGCTGATGGTCACACAAAGACACCATTTAATCACAAAAGAAGGGGGCCAAGAGTTTAACATGTGCATGGCGCCTTTTCATTGCAAAAGAAGTGGGGCGAAGAAATTAGATGTGCACAGATCGTATCCGCATGACATCCCACAAGTTAACAACCTTTCAATTCACAGGTATCCTGTGTGTAATCCCATCATTTATTTACTAGAAGTGAATATGATTAGAAAAGAGGAGGAAATACATACTCAGATATTCATATGTCAATATCATTGAGGTTCCCCATGCCGACATACTGAAAAACCTAGGACCCAATCCTCTATATAGACCAGTCCAACCATCCTCTGCTATCAAGTTTCTCACAACCTTCCTAACAGATGTTCTCTTCTCATGCCCCATCACCTGGCAATTAAACAAACAAAAGGTACACAGAGGATTAACTACTTCACTGAAAAGGACAAGTTAATGGATTGCAATGTGCCAGTGAAGAGAATAAATAGAGAGACGGTAAAGGTGAAGAGGGCTTTTAGTCCCAACCTCCAAAACTAAAATTCAGTGAGGTTGTGGCTAATGTACAAACAAATGTCTTACACAGAATGGCCCGCTTAACCAATTTAAACACATCTAGACCTACCTAATTTGAGAGCATTCATGCGTTATTCATGTTAAGATGACATATATACATATTAAAGCAAGGAGATCTGAATCCTGATTCTGTTACTGAATCTAAAAATTTGGTTGAATATAATTTCTTTTATTCTTTTTCTTTTGATGTAGTATCTACATTATCTTTTTGTCGGTCTATTTTACTATTATCAATGACAAAAAGTTGTGTAGATTAAAAATGTTGGATTATACAGGTTAAAACAATCTTCTTTTGAAAAATGGGACAGGTAAACCCACTCATTAAGTTTGAACTATGTTTCACATAGTTTAATCTATTAATCATGTATTTATTTGTCAATAAGGTGAGCATAATACCATTATTTTAAATGACATTAGGGATGACAGTTCCCAAGTTGTTAAACCCGGTATCATCACTTCCTTTTTCTAAAACAATTAAGTGACATTTAACATGACCATACAGCTCATTGGTCATGAGTAGGGGATTCCTCAACTATTCCCACCCTCCACGAAGAATGTCTCTAGGAACCAATAGACCTAATCGCATTAACAGCTTCCTAGGAGAGCAAGTAAACTGTAATGATCTATGCGGCCATTGCCATGCTCCTAGTCTTTCTACCGTTTCTCCAACCTAACACTTTTACTCTCTCTTTAAATCAATCCTAAAGGCAAAAACCAAGATAAAACGACCTGGAGTTTAGTGGAGTTGAATATTAAATAGAGAAGAAGCAACCTACTCCTCACGGTAAAGAGAATTCTCTCATCAGTTCATGAAGGAAGAATAATCATAGTAATTGTATCTATCACTAAAGGCAGCAAAAAATTACTAGGCCAATTGGCATAAACAGATCAGATCTTAGGTAGATCTTACAAAAGCAAAATATCAGCAGTCGACCTATTTAAAAGTACCTGTAAGCGAGTTTTGATGGTGTCTAATGGGGTGGTGATGCAGGAAGCCGTTGCACCTGCAATGATTCCTCCAGCAGCTTGAACTGACATTATTGTCCAATTACTTGGAGGAGCTTCCTGAAGCTCTTCCCCATGACCTAAAAGCCTATTCAATGACGAGCAAATTAAAAAGAAAAGTCAGAATACCAAAGAGTACATAATGCAAATCCAATATAGTAAAATTCATGTTAAAAAAAATGACATTGTGACATCTGGTCCTGTATTACATCAGTCCCACTTTAACATTTCCTGTTGCTCCTCTGAAATAAAAGAATACATCGGAAATGCCCTTTCTTTAATCAACATATCACGTTACAGAACAGAGTACTTTATAATGGAAGCCAAGATCACGGACAGAAAAGATGACAAAGGCAAAAATATGGAAACTTTAAAAATCTAACAGTATGTGTAGAAAAACTTAAGATAGGATCTACTACAATTAGAGAACATAAAAGCAAGTTGCAAAAAGTCCTGACATTCTTTATGACTGGATAGTTCAGAAAATATTGCACACAGGAAAAGAAAGATTATGTTGTTTTTGAGATCTGACGATTGAAATGGGATTTATCATTCTTAACAAAAGGAAAAACAGAAAACTGTTAAATGACATATGCATGGAGGTACAAAGATCCCTCAAGATTTAGATAAAGGTAGACTCTCCCAATAATTCACCCAAATCCCATTTATCTACAATATTAAATGGACTATAAACAAAATTAAACATTTTGTCTTATCCTATGATGGCCATGAAAGTTTGTCCTTTTCACCAATAGAAGGATATAAACATACATTTAAAGAAGAAAACATTGACAAATATATAATGGCTCCTCAGTTTATAAGAACAGAAAAGAATTAGATAATGGAATTAAATTATAAAGAATGTAAACAAAGAGAAATTGCGAAAACGTGAAATGTAGTTACACAAGTAAGGATTACTTGATAAAAAGGAGATAATGGAAATAAACATGTGAAAGTGATGGGTAGAAGAAAAGATTATTTAGGTAAGATTAGAGTCGTTAAAATCACTCTTCTGGAATGACAAAGATGGAGAACTACACTTGACAAAAAGGAGGGGTTGAGATAAGGTGTAGGAAGTGGACCTTCTTAAAGGATGTTCTTCAAAAATAAAGTAACACATCTCCACTAAATCATCATATTATTCTAAATGTGTCAGGATCCAAATTATACCTCTTCACAACAACAAAATTGTGATTTAAGCACTAGGAAAAGAGGTGGAGTAGGAGCTTTGGGATTAGAGATTCTCCTCGATAAGCACAAAAAGAGCTCTAGTAGAAATACACTGACTGCAGAGCCCTCAAAAACAAAACAAAGGAACGCATAATATGATAAGCCAAAAATAAAAATCTCAAATGTCGGGTGATTTTAAGGTTTTAAATTCAAAGCTGTCCTGCAAGTCCACCAATTTTTGTGTCCAAGCAGAGATTTGAGTTTTTATTTTTGTGCAAAGGTCCCAGTTGTCTGTTGGCTTGGTTGACGGGACGTGGTTCAACCATATGTTAGTTGTGAAATATTGGAGGACTGTTTCAGCTAAGGAGGCACATGGAATATTCAGGAAATGAAGCCAGTCAAATAGATTACACTGAAATTATAGCATGTTTCAAAGGCATAAGGTAGAACTTTTGTCATAACTACACATGATTACTTTGGTAGAAATTATCAAGGTGATGAAACACTTCTCCTACCAAGGGGGCCACAAGGCCAACCCTAGCAAATGTAAAACAGGGAGATAAATTATCTGGGTTCATTCCACTGGCATGAGCCAATCATGTATCCAATGCAAAGACGGAACTATGCGAGACCCGCAAAAACATGAACTTCATATGCTTACTCGATTGCAATCAGCTTGTTTATCAAATTAGTAGATGAGTACCTAAGAAGTAAGGACAATGTTGAAGAATAGTACTAAGGATAGTTGCTGTTAACAGACGATCCATTATTGGGCCATTCACTGTAGTAGGAACCCATGTGATTAGAGAGACAATGCATAATGATGAATCAGACTGAAAGGTCACACAGCATTTTTACATCAAAGGACTCAAACTTACAGATGTCAATGTATCATATGCGCCCATAGGTGCTTAAGTTAAAACAAGATACCTCTAAAGGGAACATAAAAAGTCAGTTTTACAGTAATTCCAAACCCCTCTACCCCACCTACCCCCTCCCCCCCTCCCAAAAAAAAGACAAAAAAAGGAAAATGAACAAATAGAAAATAATAAACAGATTTTAGGATGTTGTGCAGATTGGCCTTTTGGTATCAGTTTCCATTTAAAAACTTTCAAGACATATATCTTACTCCTGCTCTTTGGAGGGCAAAGGAGGCACAATACCATGAATGTCTGACGGTGCAAGTCCTCTTTTGTATTGATTTAAAGGCTTACTAACCGCATGAGGAGAAAAAAAAAACAACACACCCACACTCTATCTTGACTTTGATAACTCAAATGTGACAACATCGATGTTGCGCTGCTGAAACAGTTAAATGTTCATTGCATGTGACATTGAAATAGTTATGCAAACACGAAATAGCACATGCAGTAGAAATGTGCAAAAGGAAACAGAAGGAAGATCATTTAAGATCTACAAATCATACCACATGCTAGACCAAATAATATCAAGGCTGCATCAAAAGGTAATCTTTCCACACCATTAGCTTATTAAAATGAGACCCCCCAGACATTGACAAATAGAAAAAAAAGGGAAGGCAAAAGTATGAGTGAGAGAGAGAGAGAGGTCGCTAATGAATATCACGTTCTCATCTCAAGGTTCACCAAATGAACATAACAAACATAACTACGTAAATTCACATAAGAAGTCTACATTATTCGAAGTCTACATTATTCACATTTGAAGAATGGAAGCTTCAGGTACGTTGATGAGATAGGCAATTACATGAGAAAGAATTTCTTGGAAGCTAACAATCCTTTTTCTTTTATTTAGTTTCAGCAATAGTCCCAGTGTAGTTGAACTTTATCCACAGCAAATGAGCACTAAACCAAGTCTTACCTCCAAATAACACGCTGGCTTGAACCATAACTTGCCCACCAAACAGCACTTGATGGTGAGTAAGTCATAACAGAGAGACCAAACCCTCTATAAAATCCCCTGATGCCATCAGATTGCAACACCTTGCGAACAACGTCCAAACCTCCACTATACCTTGCATGGCCTGCGTATCCCTGAACCATCAGCTTTTGACTGACCTGAGCAGCATATGTGAGGATGTGAACTTTAGCATCACGACCCCGTGGCAGCTTATTTCTATCTTTATTATTGATTCCAGGTAACCAAAAGTAGGCTCAAATTTCCAGAACATATTCTCATAACTGTAACAAGCAAATGATGTAAATTTAACATAATTTGGTTATCATTACCACACTACTTGTTACCCCATATACGTGAGCCTAACGAAAACTCTCGGATAGTCGTAAGTCATAACAAGAGATTACGTGTCAACATGAACTACATACCACGTCAATTGGAACAAACACAGCCTGAGAAAAGAGCGATGCAGTCATGCCAGCAACACCGTTCGCTATGGCCGCTTGGGTAGGCTCAGCTAATTTCATAGTTTCAACCATCTTGAAAGTGGCAACCTTTGTAGTCTCTAAAGCAGTGAGGAAAATAATCCTTGCAGGAATTGCACCAGTAATGACGGTTCCAAATCCTCTGTAAAGGCCAGGAACCCCATCTGTCTTTAATATACCTCTGAGGACTGCAACCGCATTCCTCTCAAGAGTATCCTTTGTAGCAACCTGCAGCCTCGTTTTAACAACAGAAACTGGGTATAATGCCACTGTAACCCCTGTGAAGAGGCCAGCTCCTACAACATAAAACTTAGTTTTATCTAGCCTGCAGAAATTGGTGAAATGGATGAGCATATAAGAGTGAACTAGTACAATACAGGTAGAAGTCACATCTTCCTAAGTATCAAACAGATGTCGTAAATCATGGGATTATTGGCATGCACACACGCAAAGTTAACTACAAACATCCTGTCTAAACCTCTGTTGTGTTCATAAGAACTCATCAAAGAACTCATCTTCGTTGCACTAGCACATATGTGAATTCCCGATAATCATGACAAAAGAGGAACTTATCAGTTTAGAGCTTTCCCCTCCTTGTCTCCAACACTCGAGATTAATCGATACCCAATATAAATATGAAATTGATATACAAAACAAAACATTGACATTTATCAATGAAGCCTCAAAACGATGAACAAACATGTTGAACCTACTTTGAAACCCAACATATATAAGCCCTTAAATTTTTTTCTATTCGTTATAGAGTTCTGCAGCTCAACATCACCACATATCCGTTCATCAGGAGCTTTGGATACCAATAAATGCATAATCCCAGAAAAACGAAATCGGCATAAAATCTCATCATATCTAGAAGGAGATAACCAAGAAATCCAAACTTAAGAACCCTTTAAGCCCGGAAACGTCATTGATTGCTTTGAGATAAAAATTTCACACTCCATTTGCCGGGGAACCCGAGCAACAAAATCAACCCGCCAAGAAAACAAAACCCAAAAGAAAATGCGACGAACGACGAACGGAAACCAGCGAAAACAAGAACGAATCACGAACAAGAAAAAGATCAAACCAAGAAAGAAAAAGAATGAGCAACCCACTTGTCCCAATTGATCTCGGTTTGACCAATCGCGTGAACTCGAGCGTTGGAGGCGTCCATGGACGTGGGTGAGAAGCGACGGAGTCCAAGGTCCGATGCCAGGGTGCGAAGACCGAATGTCTGGGAAGAGAAGCTTTCAATCAGGTTGCTTGGAGCGAAAAACTTCTCCCTTTTCTCTTCTTTTTTTTTCGCTTTTATTATTTTATTTCAACGTTGTCGTTCAACCCACCTACGCGGCTTCATGCTGAACCCGTTGGACGGGCAACTCCTTTTTCGGGGGCTGTTCACATTAAAGGAGAAAAAATCGAAGGTACCACACTTTCATGCATAACCATATATTATAGTTAATAACCCGATCTCCCATCGGGCTGTTCAAATCGCAATTGACGGGTGTACTGATTTTGGATTTTACCATCTGTTTGTCACTGATACACTAGTTTATAATTTTTTATAGCATTAATTCAATTTAACGGAGGATAAATATGTTACCAATGTACCAGTTTGAAATTTTTTGTGATATAAAACTTAATTTATGGTAAATTTATTACATTTGTACCAGTTTGAGGTTTTTGATGATAAAAAAATTAGTTCAGGGTAAATTTGTCTCAAATGTAGTAATTTGAGGTTTTTCGTAACATTAAACCTAATTAATAACCCGAGCTCCCTTTCTGACTTGACAAGCCGGTCAATAGAGCAATCCGTTCTTCAAAGACAACGATATAAGGAGAAAACATGTTAATGGGTCGAATCTGGTATGGATCGAAAATTTTGCATTGCAAATTAATGGGTCAAATGGTTAAATTTGTCTATTTGGGTCGGGCCATATATCATCCAACCCACCCTCTTTGACGGGCCTAATTATAATTTATAAAAACACTTCGTAACTGTTGTAAAATATTGCGTTGCAAGTATATAATAGAGAGAATAGAGATTAAGTAGATAATGTAGATAAACACCAAGATATATATTTTCTCTTTTCATTATGTTCTAATCTCTTACAAAATGACCAAAACTAAACTCCTATTTATAAGAAAACAAGAACGCACATATCATTAATGTCAATGTATTGAATACATACATTGAATAGGGAGATGAACATTTATTGGAGATTGTATGTAGAATGTAGGTTACAAATGTACCATAATAGGTACATTGAATATAATGAATATTCATTCATGTATTTCATAACACTCCCCCTTGAATATTCATTATATTCATTATATTATGAATGTGCATTGAATGATACTGCCTCATTAAAAACCTTAAGCCGGAAAAACCCAGTGGGACAAAAACCTAACAAAAGGGAAAAAGAGTACACAGCACAAATTTTAAGATGCGTTAATTGCCTCGTTAAAACTTTAAGCTGAAAAAACCTTGTGGGAAAAAACCGGACAGAAAGAAAAAGAGTGCAATGCATAGTTCATAAGATCTCCCCCTCAATTTGAGCTATATAGCCACTGCTGGGGCTAGTCAATCTTGCATCTTATGAACTCGCCGCATACCAATGCCATATACTAATTTCTCAAAAGTTGACATTGGCAATGATTTGGTAAAAAGATCTGCAAGATTATTTATGGATTAAATCTGCTTAACATCAATTTGTCGACTTTCTTGGAGTTCGTGAGTATAGAAAAATTTTCGGCTAGATATGCTTGGTCCTATCATCTTTGATATATCCTCCCCTAACTTGTGCAACACAAGCAGCATTATCTTTATAAATTATAGTGGGAGAATTTGTAACCGGTGTTAAACAACAAGAATTGTGAATATGTATTATAACGGATCTTAACCAAACACACTCTCTTCCAGCTTCATATAAAGCAATAATCTCAAAGTTGTTGGAAGATGTAGCTACTAGCGATTGCTTCGTAGAACGCAAAGAAATGGCGATGCCATTATAACAAAATAAATAACCGGTTTGAGAGCGAGCTTTATATGGATCATATCTATATCCAGCATCAATATATCCAACTAAATCAGAGATAGTGGAATCCTTGGAATAATATAATCCCAAATCTATGGTTCCTCGGAGATAACGAAAAATATGTTTAATTCCATTCCAGTGTCTCTGAGTTGGCTCAGAACTAAAACGTGCCAATAAATTTACCGCAAAAGCGATATCTGGTCTCGCACATTGTGCCAAGTACATCAAAGCCTCAATTGCATTGATATATGGTACTTCAGGACCAAGTATCTCTTCATCAGATTCTCTAGGACGAAACGGATCCTTTTGGGGATCTAGAGACCTTACAATCATAGGGGTGCTCAATCGATGAGCCTTGTCCATGTTGAAGCGTTTAAGTAATATTTCAATGTATGCTGATTGATGGACGATTATTCCATTTGCTTTATGCTCAAGCTCTAGACCAAGACAAAGTTTGGTTTTACCCAAATCTTTAACTTCAAATTCCCTTTTCAAATACTCAGCAGTTTTAACTAACTCTTTTGGAGTTCCAATTAAATTTATATCGTCGACATAAACTGCTACAATAACAAATCCGATTTCTGATTTCTTAATAAACACGTATGGGCAGATAGGATTATTCTTGTACCTTTCCTTAATTAGGTACTCACTTAGGCGTTGATACCACATGCGACCGGATTGCTTTAACCCGTACAAAGATCTTTGTAATTTTATTGAGAATAAGTTGCGGGGAGTGCATGCATCAGGCATTTTGAATCCCTCGAGAATTTTCATATAAATATCCGAATCTAATGAGCCATACAGATATGCCATCACAACGTCCATAAGACACATTTCCAATCTTTCAGAGAGTACTAGGCTAATGAGAAAACGAAATGTAATCATATCCATCACAGGTGAATATGTCTCATCATAATCAATCCCAGGTCTCTAGAAGAATCCTTGGGCAACGAGTCATGCTTTATACTTGACAACCTCGTTTTTCTCATTTCGTTTCCGAACAAATACCCATTTATATCCAACGGGCTTTACATTATCAGGGATGCGAGTTATGGGTCCAAAAACCTCTCGTTTGGCTAGGGAAGCTAATTCAGCCTTAATTGCTTCCTCCCATTTAGACCAATCTTACCTTTGACGGCATTCAATAATAGATTGCGGCTCATAATCATCATCCATAATTTTATGAGCAACTGAGAATGCAAAAGCATCATCAATGATGATTTCATTCCGATCCCAAATCTCATTACAATATGTAATGGAATTCTCAGTATTCCCAGGGTTGGTGATCTTTTCATAGGTTTGTGCCTCTTCAGTGGCAATAAGCTCTTTGGGAGCAAGCACAACACCAGGCTCTTCTAGAGTAGATTCCTGATTCTTTCCTCTTCGTTTTCGAGGAACAGTGTGTTTTGATCCTATCGGTCTACCGCGTTTCAAGTGTAGGGGATTTTGATCCATTTTAGCTTGTCCTTCGGGAACAGCTATCCTAGCTGGAGCATTTGCAGCTGGAATATGAGACTTCGTTACCTTAGTAGCATCATTAAATATGTCAGGAAGTCTATTGGCCATAGCCTATAAATGGATTATGCTCTGCACCTCGTTTTCACACTCAGGAGTTCTTGGGTCTAATTGAGATAAATTTTTCTCATTCCAGGAGAAAACCTTAACTGGTTTTTGCTTCGCAGCCATGTTAGTTTTAGGTGTCCCAATTGATGGAAACATAGTCTCATTGAAATGACAATATGCGAATCTGGCAGTAAAAAGATCACCGGTAGTTGGTTCCAAGAACTTAATGATGGACGGTGAATTAAACCCAACATAAATGTCCAAACGGCGTTGGGGACCCATTTTTGTTCTTTTTGGCGGTGCTACAGGCACGTGTACTGCACAACCAAAGGTGCGTAAATGTGAAATATCAGGTTCATAACCAAGAACCATTTGAAAGGGAGATTGTAAGAGACTAGCAGTGGGACGCAATCTTATTAGGGCTGCCGCATGCAAAACTGCATGACCCCATGCTGTATCATTGAGACTTGTTCTCAATAATAGAGTGCGGGCAATGATTTGGATATGTTTAATCAAGGATTCTGCCAATCCATTTTGAGTATGAACATATGCGACCGAGTGCTCAACCTCGATTCCAAGTGAAGCACAATACATATCAAAACTCTTTGATGTAAATTCACCAGCATTATCCATCCTTATGCTTTTAATTGGATAATCAGGGAATTGTGCTCGGAGCTTTATAATCTGCGCAAGTAAACGTGCAAAGGTGACATTGCGCGTAGATAATAGACAAACATGGGACCATCTACAGGATGCGTCCACTAGTACCATAAAATATCGAAACGGTCCACTTGGTGGTTGTATTGGTCCACAAATATTACCTTGAATTCTTTGCAGGAATAAAGGGGATTCAAGATTAACCTTTGTTATAGAAGGTTTGGTAATGAGTTTTCCTTGTGAACAAGCTTCACAATTATAATCTTTGGACAACAATACCTTTGTATCCTTTAAAGGGTGCCCTTTTGTATTCTGAATTATTCTACGCATCATTGAAGCGCCAGGGTGACCAAGGCGATCATGCCATAATCCAAACTGATCAGAGTTTACCAATCTCCAGGATATGGTGGAGTAGGTTTCAACGGCCTTAATCATGACACAGTACAAACCCATAGAAGAGGCTTCTAGCTTCTCATGGATGGTCTTCAGGCCCATCTTATAAGAGGTAATGTCAATATATTATTTATTTTGCTCATAAATAGTCTCAATATGGTACCCATTACGGCGTACATCTTTGAAGCTAAGCAGATTCCTTTTTGATCTTCTGCTTAGAAACGCATCCTCAATATACAGGATGGTGCCTTTTGGCAAAACAATTGTGGCATTCCCGAAACCATCAATAATCGGAATAGGACTTGATATTGTATGGATATGCGTCTTACGCAATGTCATACTCGAGAAAAAGTGTCTACTACGAAATATGGTATGTGTTGATGCACTATCAAGCAAACAAACATCTTCCTTTTTCTCGGTATTTTCCATTTGCATTTATGTTGACAACTTCAGGAGTCAAGTATCATAAAATTTTCATATTAGTTATAGGGTCAAATAAAATTTCAAAATAATAAATATTATATCAGGTTCATAAGCATTTCATTGCATAACCATATTAAAGAACAATAAAAGGTAATACATTTAAAGAAAAGCAACTAGAAAAGAAATTATTAGAATCATAAAATTCGAAGTCTAAGTTGTTATCCACCAGTCCGATGCTTCATCAAAGTAATCAGAGGTCCTCAAAGAAATCAGAGACATCCAGGGATGCATTTGCTACTTCAGGAGCAAGAGGAGTCCCACCAACAGAGATATTGTTGGCATCAACAGTGGTTATGGCAGTAGGATTAATTTCAATGGCGTGAGATTCACCACCCTTACCCCTATTTTTTAAAGATGCCCAGTATAGATCAACAAAGTGCTTTGGCGTACGGCAAGTACGTGACCAGTGCTCAGTCATGCCACAACGATGGCAAATACTTTTATTAGTCACCTTCTTTTGCTTCTTTTCTTTGTCATGATTTGGGTCAAAGTTAGATTTCCTAGGGCGGTTAAATTTCTTGCCACCCCTTCAAGGATTATGTTCTTGCCTGCGCTTGTAGCCCTTAAAATGGCCAGTATTTTTCTCAGAGTTAGCATGTGCTTCAGGCAATGCTTTTGACCCAGCGGGTCTAAGATCATGATTTTTGAGCAGCAATTCATTAGTTTGCTCAGTAGTGAGGAGCACAGAAATTAATTCAGAGTATGTGGCAAATTGATGCTGTCGGTATTGCTGTTGCAATACAATATTCGAAGCATGGAAGGTGGAGAAAGTTTTCTCTAACAATTCCGCATCAGTGAGCTTGATACCGCATAACTCAAGCCGAGAAACAATATCAAATAAAGCGGAGTTATAGTCAGACACTGATTTAAAATCTTGCAGTTTGAGATTTTGCCAGTCATATTGTGCTTGAGGGAGGATATCAGTCTTGGTATGATCATACCTATCCTTCAACCTCTTCCACAGGGTCTGAGGGTCTCGAACGGATAAATATTGAGTCTGCAGGCTCTCATGCAAATGACGACGAATAAAAATCAGTGCATTTGCTTTATCTTTTGCATTTGACGTTCCGTCTTCTGTAATTGCATTAGCGAGACCTTGCCCTTGGAGGTGCATTTCCATGTCAAGGCAACATGATAGATAATTATTTCCACTCACTTCCAGGATGTGGAATTTGGGCTTTTCAATATTTGCCATAATTCTTGCAAAACAAATGAATCCTTAAATTAATTGGAAGGATTTCGAAATATCCACCGCCACTTCAGGAGTAGAAGGATACTTTTAGATTGGAAATTGGCTTGAGGCCAAGAAAAAGAAAAATGAAGAATTGATAGGAGAAGATGAAGTATAAGTTGATTAATGAAATCAAAGAGAACACTTACCTTGCAAAAATTATTTACTCAGTTGGTAGATCTTCGTGCTGATAACGTGTTGTAAAATATTGCGTTGTAAGTATATAATAGAGAGAATAGAGATTAAGTAGAGAATGCAGATAAACACCAAAGATATATATTTTTTCTTTTCATTATGTTCTAATCTCTTACAAAATGACCAAAACTAAACTCCTATTTATAAGAAAACAAGAATGCACATATCATTAATGTCAATGTATTGAATACATACATTGAATAGGGAGATGAACATTTATTGGAGATTGTACATAGAATGTAGGTTACAAATGTACCATAATAGGCACCTTGAATATACATTCATGTATGTATGTAGGTTACAAATGTACCATAATAGGTACATTGAATATAATGAATATTCGTTCATGTATTTCATAACAGTAACGTGATTTTTTTTCATACATATAGAAAGTTTTTGTACTTAATTATGCAACCTTGGATCACGGCAGCCGGCGACCGATCGCTCTCTTGCTTGATGAACCTTATTTTTTGGTCAAATCGAGCGAGGTTGGTGGGCCCCCAAACAAGTGGGACTCCGATCATTCGGCGATGTTGGGGGAATATGCTGAACCGACGTTTTCGATGGGCTATGCTGCTAAGAGAGAAAGAAAAAAAAAACATTTTATGTAGCACAAATTTATTAAAACTTTGATTTACTTTTATAATTAAAGAATGTGTCTATCGGATCTTTATGTTATTGAAGTTAGAAAAAACAAAAACAACATATATCTTATTAATTTATCGTATTTTGTTAGATTAAGAAACGATATCCTATCCCGAATTTTTAATTCCTTTTCTACTACAAATTTTTTGTGGCATTTGATGATAGCATCGTTACAAAACAAACTAATGTAAGAAGATATACACCTCGATTGATAAGAAAGATAAAATGAATTTTGTGATAATCGGTAAACAAAATAAATGTATATATGTCTATCAAATATTTGAAAGGAATAGAGAAAACGTCGAGAAAAGGAAAACCAAGGGCCCGTTTGGTTCGTCAAAACGTTTGTTTTCCCTTTTCAGATTTCTTTTTTTTTTAGTTTTCCTAAAAACGTTTTTGGTCCAAAATTAAAATTTTTGATATGAACAAAATTTTTTAAAACATATTTGATTGTAATGCTTTTGATGTTAAGAGGTGAGTTCTTGATTTTATAAGTAAACTGTATTCTCCTTTTGAAGAATATTTTGAAAATTACTTTTCCAAATTGTAGTTTCTTTTTTCGGGGGGTCAAACAAGCTGAAAACAAATTCATTTGAAAATAGCTCTCAGTTTATTCTGAACGTATTTTCAGTGTTGTTTTCATTTGCAAACGAAAATGAAATAGAAAACTGGACGATTTTTTATACCAAGCAAGCCCTATTTTTTTTTAGAAAAAAAAATTTTGGGGAAAAAAGAGAAACTTTCCATATCTCTTTCTCGTCGTGCTAAACAATGATTTTCGGAAATTTCATGTCGCTAAGGGGGCGTTTGGCAACTTGCCAAATAGTGATAATTTCTGTTTTTTTGTTCCCAGAATCAGTTTGGGAACATAAATCAGTTTGTTAAAATTTTTGTGCCAGGGCACAAATTTGCAAAAAATTGTTCCCAGAATCAGTTTTGGAACAGAATCAAGAAGCAAAAAAAAGTAGTTTCTTGATTCTAGAACAATTTTTCCATTTCTGATTCTTCTTGTTTTCTTCTTCCTTTGTATTTGTTCTTCATCTTCTTCCCGGTCTGCCACCGGCCCATCGCTGACGACCGACCGCCCGCAACTGGCTAGGGCCGGCGAGGGCGGCCGTCGCCTCCCCAGGCGACAGCGAAGTCGGCCTCGCCAAATCTAGGCGAGGTCGAGCCTCGCCCGGCAACAGAGAGGCCGACCTCGCCGTCTTGGGGGTGGCGACAGCGAGGTCGGCCTCGCCCGGCCATGGCGAAGCTGACCTCGCCGTCGCGACCGGCAAGGACCGCGACGCCCTCGCCGGCCCTGGCCTGTGGCCGGTCACCGGCGTCAACGACCGGCCATGGCCAAGGAAAGGAAGAAAAAAAAGAAAGAAATATTAAAAAATTTAAAATATTATTAATAAAAAGAAATTTTGTGTAGTTACCAAACGCATTTCTATTCTTTTTCTATTCTAAGAATAGAAATTTTGGGCAGTTACCAAACGCCTTCAAATGCTTAGAAATTATTCCCGGGCACAGAATCAAAAAGAATCATTTATGAGCAGAATCAGTTCTCAGGTATAGAATCGTTACCTTGCGCACTCTAAGCTTTCATCACGAGCTTTCCGACGACACTTGAATTGCCCGGGAAGTTCTCCGGTGCTCAAGTCCTCAACATGAGGATTGCTCTCTCGTGCTTTCACTCTTATTTTGCTCTCTTAAGTTTCACTCACGTGGTATCCTTCATGTTTGTAGATACCAAGGTTCTCGCACTTTTAAGATAAGTCTTCGCTTCCTCTCTCTTTAAATTCAATTAGAAAGCATGTTTACGTCGCTATAATGTCGACTTAAATCTTATATTTCATCGTTATGTTGTCGAATTAGAATGATTGAATTTCGCATGCTTCTAAATTGTCATAATGCTGAAATCAAATCTCGACTTTGAAATTCATCATGATATTGTTGAGATAGAATTGAAAATCACGCATGTATCTAGATCGTTGGAACGACGAAACTCAAATTTAGAGATTGGAGGAGGCTGTTGGTGCTGCTAAATGATCTAATTATTTGAATGTCACTAGGATACATGCTGCCGATTGTTGATATATAAATTATATAGTTCGAAAGGCGATATAAGGTGATTGATATATGAAGTGCTAGAGTAAATCCCTTATTTTTGCAAGCCAACGCTAGGACGCAATACCGATGGGATTGGTTACGTCTGTAAGATAGGCTATATATAGTGATACGACGAGGTCAAGGATCGATAGCTATAGCAATTTGAACACATGAATCGTGGCTTCGTGCACGAGAATCATCCTTTTGTCATTCAAAGTTCACTTTTGAAATGCAACTTCACAAATTTCAAGATGGCATTCGCGGCGCGCGCGCGCGCGCGCACACACACACACACACACATATATATATATATATATATATATATATATATATATATATATATATATATATATATATATATATCACAACACTTATCACTCGAGTTCATTCGACAAGTCGCGCATAATCAATTAACACGTCTTATATCAATTTTCATGTCTTCATGCATGTGTTATTCGATTGTCACGTCATTACACATGTCATTAGCACATGGCTTATCCGATTGCCCCTCATCATTTGCACATATCATATTCAATTCTCACGCCATCACACATGTCAATTGCACGTGCTATTTTGCTTACTGTGTCATTATGCATATCATCCATATATATTATATACGATCCCCGCATGTCATTTGCACATGTTACGTTCAATCAACGCATGTAATTCGGATATGTATTATTCGATTTTTGCATGTCATTTGAACATGTCATATTCATCGTAACTTGTCATATTTAATCATCGTATGCCATTCGACCACATCTTATTCAATCTTCGCATGTTAGTTTTGATTCTCTCGTAACGTATTAGATTACCATGTGATTACGCATATCATGTGCTCATGTCAGATTTGAATTATACGTCATTCCGCATGTTATCCGCTCATGCCATATTCGAATTGCAAGTCATTTTGCATGTCAGTGGCACATATATGCCTGTCAGATTTGATACTTGATACTTCATTTTACGTGACATTTTTGAAGTTCGGATCTTATTTGCATGGCATATTTATCATTGTAGTCAACTTGTATGTTATTCATATTCGATTTCTACATATTCGATTGATTTGATCAGGTCGCATTCGATGCATCACTCGGTGTCACGCATCTTGCAACATGCATAGCACATATAAAAGTACACACCCCCACAAAATGGCTAATCCAATGCCATCTTTTGGCCTGATTGCGTATTGGTCAATTTTCAATCTCTTAGCTCTTACAAGAAAAATGCACGACAATCGGGAAGTAGAACTTAATCAAATTGTGATGGTACCAAAATGCGTCACGCAATCGGACCTTAACCTCTGGTTAATGTACATAAACCATTCACCTTGCATACGTCACCTAGGTAGTTTATTACCTGTAACTACTTAAACATTTTAGGCATCCAATTCAACTAGGTAATAAACATCGATCGGCGGTGACTCCTTTTTGCTTTTCTTTTTTCAGAATCAGACATATCTAGTTTCATAGCCAACTCGAACCTAGAGTCTGGAAGACCCGAGGGACCGAGGCATCCACCCGATTTGCAAAAACTTCGAGGTGCTGCAATCGGATATGAATTAACGGTTACATGCCATTGAAGGGAGCAGTTTTTGGGTTCAGTCGTTGACAATTTTGCAAATTTACAATAAGTTTCTATGCTCCTATGGTGTAACGGTAAAAGGGTCTTATATTTCACTCGGGGAAGGTTTTGGAATACCGAAAGTAGGATTTATTTCAAAAAAATTGATAGCATAATTCTATAATTTCTCTCTCTATACAAGCACTCTGAGATTAAGACAACATGTTTGACAATGGTGAAAATAGACAAGGCCCATATCCAAGGAATGGCCCGTGAGATGTTATTTGCCAAGGTTTGTAAGTACGAGCCCAAGTTTTAAGATGTTTGTGCTCTGGGTACAATAGGCCACAAAGGTGCAATGGGCCCAAAGGGAGGGTTGCCTTAGTTGGGTA